ATATCCAAACATCCAACCAACCATTCACCCATCTAACCATACGTCCATCTAACTGTACATCAATCCATTTACACATCCAGCCATACATCCATACATCCAACCATATATCTAAACATCCAACCATCTATCAATCCATTCAACCATCCAACAACCATGCATCTAACCATACATCCACCCATCCAACCATCTATCAATCCATTCAACCATCCAACAACCATGCATCCAACCATACATCCAACCATATATCCAAACATCCAACCAACCATTCATCCATCTAACCATATGTCCATCTAACTGTAAATCAATCCATTTACACATCCAGCCATACATACATTCAACCATCCAACCATATATTCAAACATCCAACCATACATCCAACCATACATCCAACCATGCGTTCATTATTTCATCCTCTTGTTCTGGAGTCAGGTCTCAGCAGGACATGACATCAGGACATGTTTTTCCACGGCCACCTCTTCAGAATTTGACCAAAACAACAACTCTGTCATTTCTCAACAAAAGTTGTTCGTAGTTTAAAGCTCTAGCATGAAATGTGGCAGGTGATACACTTTGTACGTTCCTTCAAGGAACTGTTGTGGTTGTTATTTTGTTTTGTTTGTTGTTTACTTTGCAGTCAGAGCGAGAACGGCAGAGTGGAGGACTGACTTGTTTCGGCTCTTTTTTTACAACTTCAGATGATTTAAAGTTTAAAACCTGCAGCGTGTGTCCTTGTTTGAGGCGAATCAAAAACATCTCTGTTTGTTCTGATGCGACCCAGAAGCAGAGAACAGCCGACTCAGACGTTCCTGACTGAGACTAACACCCAGAACCTTCCGGCTTTAATCCTGCCAGCTCCAAAAACACTTTGTTTGACTCTGTACCCATGGTGCTGATCCAGTCTGTGACCCGGGTCGTGGTTTAAACCCCTTGAAGCACAAGTATTAATAATTCATGCTAAGCTGCACCGTTGTTTTTTCTTTGAAGTCCTGTGGACCTAAAGTCTCGTCCTGTGGACCTAAAGGACACAGGTTCTAATGGGGCTAAATTAAGTCCAAATATAGTTTTGTAATTGAGGCGATTCTGAGCTGGTGTGTCGTCTGGTGGTTATTGTGAGCTGACCGCTTCATTCCTCCGGATCGTTTCGGGCCAGAACTATATTTTAAAGTCTAACTGGATCAAAGCGTCTACGAGACAAAACCATAAATCCTGGTTTCAACAGATACATTTTAATTTGACCCTGAAGACAAAACAGAAAGATCAAATCTGAGATCAGAATCAGTTTAATTCACGTCGGGTAAAAATTAAAGAAAGGAGTTTTTAAAAAACAAAACAGCTGAGCAGCTTCTACGTTAGTCTGTAATGGAATAAAAGTTTAAAGTATAATTGTTTGAATGTTGATTCACATTAATTTTTTTTTTAACCTTTTTTTCTTATTGTTGTATTTTGGACATTTTTTGTATCCATTTCTGTAAGTTTGTGCTTTTTTAGCCATTCAAATTTAATCTTTAATACTTTTCAGAATTTTAAATTTTATTTACCAATATTTTTCCATAGAGATCATTGTTAGCTGTTATGCTACATTTTGCTAGCCTTTTGCTGCTTTTAGCCTAGCCTTTTGCTACGGTTAGTTAGCATTTTAATACTTCTTTATTTTAGCTAACCTTTATGTGTTTTTAGATATTAGCTGTTTTTACAACATTTAGCTCTTAGCCTTATGTTGTTTTAGCTAACTCATTGATACTTGTTCATTTTAAATAACTATTCTGCATGTTTAGATATAAGCTACAATTTTACCACTTTTAGCTTTCAGTTAACATTTGGATACATTTAGATAGTTTAGCTACTTTTATCTCTTACCTAGACTTTTACTGCTTTTAGCTTCTTGCCTAGCTCATAGCGTTAGTATTTTGTTGTTTCTTTCTTTCATCTAACCGTTTCAGTATTTTTAGATATTAGATGACATCAAACTACTTTTATCTTTAAGATATACTTTTATTTAAGCTAGAGGTTATTTTATGTAGCATTTTGGTGCTTTTAGCCTAGCCTTTTGCTACGGTTAGTTAGCATTTTAATACTTCTCTTAGCTAACCTTTCAGCATTTTTTATATTAGCTAACATTATTCTACTTTTAGCTTTTTATTCCTTTAAGCTAGAGCTTTGCTACTTTTATGACTTTTGGCTAATCTTTTGCTACTTTTAAACTAGCTTAGGTTTTAGCTGGCATTTATTACTTATTTTAGCTAACCTTTCATCATTTTCTAAACTTAGCCATCATTTTACTACTTTAGCTTTCAGTTACCTTTTGGATATACGGTATTTAGCCAGAGCTTTGCTACTGTTATTACTGCTTTTAGCTTCTTGCCTAGCTCTTTGATACTGTTAGCTAAATGAAAGAGGAAATAAACTACTAGCTAAGATTTCAGTGTTTTTAGATAATGTCTAGAATTTTACTTCTAACTTTTAGTGACCTTTGATACATTAAACTAGAGTTTTGCTGCTTTTATCTTTTAGCCAGACTTTTGCTGCTTGTAGCTCCTAGCCTAGCCTTTTGATACGTTTAGCTTGTATGTGATACTTCTGCTTTAGCTGATTTTTGGTTTTTTTTGTTGTTTTTTTTTAGAAATTAGCTATAATTTTACTACTTTTAGGTTTTGTTAGCCTTGTAGTTATTTTAGCTATCCTTTTGCTACTTTTAACTTCACGTATATAGCGTTAACACTGGATCTTTGCTGAAAACGCCGTTTTTCCAGTTGGGCACATTTTGTGACGCCGACCAGCAAACTCTTGACAATAGAGTCGTCTTTAAAAACACAGAATTAAAAAGTAAATGGACTTTACTTTCTATCTTATCAAGACACTTGAATCACTTTACACAATAATCTGCGTCCTCATGTACTCATTCATACAGAACTCCACTACGTGTACTCTATATAAATCTATATAAATATATAAATATATATCTAAACCCCCAACTCTTGCATTGGAGGACGACTGCTCTAACCAGTCAGCCAGAGCCGCTCCAATTAAAAACCCTTCTTTACAAACTTTTTTTTAACCTACAAACAATAATAAACAACAAAAATCAGCTAGACGTTATTAACACACTAAAATACATGAAGTGTAATTTTTGTGTACTTTTGTGATTTATCTTCATAGTTGTTTGTAGAAAACGTTTGCAGGCTGAGAAACTGAAGCAAGGAGACAAACTTGATTCAATCCTGCCTTTCTTTAGTTTCAGCTTCAAGCTTTGACAGAACGTGTAAAAATGTAGAAATAAATGCTTCGCTTCGTGTTTTCCTCTTCCTGCTTCCATCAGCAGCTCGCCTGTTTCATGTCACTTTGGGAGGCGTTCCCCTGTGAACGGACGTCTCATCGTCACGAATCTGTTATTTTGTCCAGAGGAACAGAAACGGCTGCAGTTTGTGGTCATCCCTGCAGACTCTGTGCAGCTTGTTGCTCCTCGGCCTGCACCAACGGGTCCACTTTCCTCTGATATAAATAGAAAATGATGCTAACAGATGCACCAGCTTCTGCCTGTCTGCGCTCACACACGAGCACTGCCTTATTCCTAAATCCAGAACATTCCAGGACTAACAGAATTAAAACATTTATCCTCGTGTTTTGAACTGATAAAGTGATGAAGGGTAAAGTGACGGTGAAAAGAGAGCAGCTAATAAGGTCACGGCTCAGCCGGGGAGCTGCAGAAATACTCAACTATATTCAGAAGTCGAGCTGCCGTAAAGGACCCAGCTTCAAACAAAATAAACGTCAGAAATCTAATAAGTGATTGAAAAAACTGAAGCAGAAATGATAAAACTGTTGGTCACCATACAGCTGATTTAAAAACATTTGATTTGTATTTATAAAAATAAATAAAAAAAAACATGGAAAAACATGATTTATTTAGTGAGTCAGCATTCTTGTTTTTTAAATTTAGTGTTTTTTATGTTTTATTGCAATCAAAAATACTTTTGGCTGTTTTTGTTTCCGTCTAAACGTTCAGCTGTTTATACTTTTTATATAATTTAAGTTTATGTTCAAATATTTCCCCATAGAAATACATTGAGAACAGATTAGTTCTGCTACTTTTAGCCTTTAGCTACTATTCTGCGACCTTTAGCTTTTAGTTACCATTCTGCTACTTTTAGCTTTCAGCGATTTTTTACTTTTAGCTACCATTCTGTTACTTTAGGCTTTAAGAAACTTTAGTTTTTTGTTAGCCTTTTGGCACTTTTCAGTTTTAGCTAGCTTTTTTGATTCTTTAGCTTTTAGCTAGGCTTTGGCTACTAGAACTTAACTAAGCGTCCCTTCATCATTTCAGCTGGGTTAAGGTGACAAACAGCCACAGGGTGGTTTGGTTAGGTTTGGTTAGGTTCTGTTCACGGCGCTGAATGCGGAGCAGAGAAACCAAAGAGCTCAGGAGAAGATTCAAGATCTTTACACACAGGTAAAGACTACGAGACCGTCTACAGGCAGCTTCATGGTCCTTGGACCACAGCTGAGGAGATTATTCAGAAGTAGAAGCTTCAAGGGACTGTAGACAACCTTCCATGACCTGGACGCAAGCAGAAATGCGACTCCAGGTCGATGTGAAGCATAGTAGAAAAAGAACCACGATCGTGGGTTCTGATCACACCATGTGTCACATTTTGAGTCATAATAATGGAAGAAGACCCAGGAGGCTCCACTACTGACAGAAAAACACAAAATCCAGACAGGAAGTCACCAAAATGCACGTTGACAAGAGCCAAAGTTTCTCAGTATAGTCCCTGGACTGAAGAGACCAAACTGGATCCTTTTGGATCCAGTCACGTATCCATCTGTGGGTTTAGAGTCACAACATGAGGAGGAATCATTTCCTGTGCGAGTGCTCTGCCGTGCGATCCTGCAGCAGCCGGTACCCGTCGGTCTCGACAGACTCACCGTTCGCAGGAACTGGATCTCCTCCTCTCCCTCTCCTCCTTCTGCCATCTTCCTCCCACCAGGGTTATTCTCAGCTCCTCAGGAGAAAGAGAGAAAAATCCTGGTGAGTTCTCCGTTCGTGGTTCTGGTGCTCGTCTGCGTCCTCACTGCTGAGCCCCGTCACACTCTGAGTGAGTGTGAGTGAGTGTGAGTGTGTGTGAGAGTGAGTGAGTGTGTGAGAGTGAGAGTGTGTTCTGGAGGACAGCATGAGTCCTCTGCTCTCACCGGACTGTGAGACAGAGTGACAGGATCATCCGGCTCCCTCTCCTCAGATCCCCGGATGGGAGGGATGGGTTGTGGGGGGCTGGCACCTTGTTACACATAACCCCCCCACCCCCCCACCGAGCTGCCATGTCTGCAAAAGTGGGCCAGTCCCCCCCCCCCCCCCCCCCCCCTTCAAGTGTGAGGCTATAAAAGGAACGAGGGGCGAGGACTCGTCTTCAGGGAGGACACCCGCTCCCAAAAGTCTGCTGCTCAGATTTAAACCTATCATGTGAGGGTCTGAGGATGGGGGGGGCGGGGGCGCCTTTATGTTAATGTCTGTAGTAGCTGAGAGTCATCCCTAACTCCTACTCTGAGCACTAGCAGATCAATGAATCTTTATTTAAAACGTTGGTGGACAACACGCGAGCCTTGCTTGAAGGAACGCCAGGTTTCGTTCTTGAATTGAGGCTTAGATGGATCCATCACAGCTGATCAGGGATCAATGACGTCAGAATTACTCAAAGTAAACTAAACCAGGACAGTTCTACTAAATTCCTCAGGGGGCCACAGTTAGTGAAAGCCAAGAGCTCAGGGGCCAGTTATTGTTTAACTAAGTTTGTTTTATGGTTTAAAATCTAGTTTTATTCAAATATGAACCCATCGGTGGGCCGGACTGAGCTCACTCATAGGCCTAATCTGGCCCCCGGGCCGCCAGTTGAATAGCCCTGAACAAAACACTTTCGGACTCCTGACGTTTTAGACTACGTTTTGATGTCTGGATCATCCTGTTATCACGAGCGGTTCCAGTGATATGGATTGATTTGTTCTGCTAATTGAGATCCACAGAAAATTGAAAATCTAAATATTTGAATTTGAAAAGAGATTTCTCTGCGTCACTTGAAAACAGAAATCTCAAACCAGATTTAGAGATCAGGATTTCCCTGCTGGTATTGACTCACTAACACACACACAGAAAGTAGCATTTACTTTGTGGATCTAATTTTTTTTTATCGCAGATGTTGGCAGGGCTTAATTTGAGCCACATCCTGCAGGAACAAGATCCAGGAACTCTCTTATTTTGACAGGGTGCGTTCTGGTAACCGTTTGCTTGGATCCGGTAACTCTCTGGCTTACTAATCATAAAGTTATGAACAAATATGACTGCTCTGAACGAATAAAACTTATACTGGATATGTTAACTGAAAATAATTACACAAATCAATCAATCAAACTTTATTTATAGAGCCCTTTCCAGCAGCCAAAAGGTGCACAAAGTGCTGCACAATACAGAAGTTAAAAACAAACAATTAAGAATTTAAAAAACAGACAATTAAAACATAGCAAGATTGCCAAAGAACTACTAGCCTGCCTGAATAAAAAGGTTTTTCCGTTTAGACTTAAAATGCTCCGTATCAGTGATGGAGCACAAGTCCTGAGGCAGATGGTTCCAGAGTCTGGGTGCAACGACAGAAAAGGCCCCGTCACCCCATCGTTTGTTGGACTTTAAGACCGACCGTAGAAAAGTATTGGATGATCTCAGTAAACACTAGTTTTAAACAAAACAGCCACAGTCTCCAGTCATCAGAGCTGCCCCTTCAAGCAGCATTTCTGCCTTTATCCTTACAAAAATATCCGCCCCTAAAAGAGCGATGAGGTGAGTGTTGAGCGAGTCGTACACGGGTAGGAACCCGCAGGCAGCGGCCATGACAGACAGGTGAGGCACCTGGAGGTTTCACATGTGGAGTCGGACAGTGAATTCAGCGGAGACGGGTTCGGAAACATCAAGTAAGGGGGAGAGTGGGAGAGTGGGGGTAGGATGCTCGACAGAAGTGGAGCGTTTACAAATGTAAACGATGAAGCCTTCCGGATCCAAGGCGAAACGTTTCAGCACCAAAAAAGAAACTGTCCAGATGACCTGACTGAAAAATGTTGGATTATATACCTGGATTATTGAGCATGGACTTTGCTGTTTACAAATGTAGGTAATTTTTTTTTTCTCACACGCTCTCGAGCAAGACGATGCTTTTCTTCCCTCTCCCGTCCGCCTCCTGCTTGTTTGCTCTCTGTCCTGTGTTAATGGAGCTTCTATTTACACATCTTCCGAATCGTAAACTACTGTCATGGATCTGCTCAGCTGGACTTGCAACACAATTGATACATTTTTTTTCAACCAAGCGACAGGGTCCTGGAGAACCCTCATGCCCCGCTGAGACGCACGCAGCAGGGTACGTCATGGATCCGTTGGGAGATTGGAAGTTGATGTGCCTTTCCGTATTGTCTCAGGAGGACGCCCAAGATGTTTATATAACTGGAATCGTGATAGTAGGGTTCCTGCTTTTTGGCACCATCGGATACCTATGTTATCGGCTATTAAAGAAGACGGCAGCAGCAGTTTTGGCCGTGGCAAAGCTGCCAAGCGTATGTGAAGGTTTGGTTCGTGCTTCGAGTACTCAAAATCAGCTGATTTACGAGGCCAACCGTAAGACGGAAGCGATTTGTGTGAATCGCAGGCCATTTGCGACTGCCGGGACTCGCCAGCATGTTGGGGACAACCGTGGAGGGAGCTCATAGGAACAGAACAGTGGAATGCCCACAAATCTGGACGTTTTGGGTCATCGAAAGCACCAGCAGGACTCAAGGCTGACAAGAAGCAACAGTCTGCCTGAAAGAAAATCAACAACTGTGGCTTATCTGTATCCGACTCCCCCGTTCGGCCTTGAAGCAGGCCGACTTACCAAATTTTTCTTGGGATATGTGTAAACTATTGGTAAACTATTGAAGGTTCTGCTGTATCTGCAACAACCCCCCCCCCCCGCAAACTTCTGTGAATGCTCATCAAAGCTGTACCAGCTGACACCAACATCTTATCAGGACTATGGTCTATCTGGAAGTGCTTCATGGACAAATCTCACCGTCTTGACATCAAATGCATGTAACGTGTCTATAAATGTGCTGCTGGTAGTTTTTTATGTCTTAAACCGTGTCCTGTTAAGGACAAGGAGTGAAGATATATGTTT